GCCCTTGATGGAATCCGGCTTGATCTCGGTGCCGTGACTGAAGCCGTTGAAGTTAAACTCGGTGAGGGGCTCCCCTTTGCAGAAGCCCTTGTTCCAAGTCTTCTCATGCAAAGCGTGCTTCAGCTCGGCCTTTTGCTTTGCCTCGACCATCGCGACTTTGTCCTTGCCGTGAGCCTGGGCCTGCAGCATGCAGGAGCCATCCTGACCATCCTCCTCAGCCAGCACGCAGGCCAGCCCTGCAAAGAACAGGGCCTTCCACATGATGTCCGGTTCGGTCTGCTACTAAGCTTGCAGGTCGCTTTGTGCCTCAAGCTTCCGTAGCTACTGTTTAGCAAGGGTTTAGGGTTTAGGGATCCCCAACTGCAGGTGTCTACGTCTTTAGGAAAACCTAGTACAAGTATCAGCGGAAGAAAGGCCCCGATGTTAAACTCGAAACCCTAAGGCCCCACACCCTAAGCCTTAAGCCCCTAAACCCTAAACCCCTAAACCCCTGCTAAACCCTGAACCCCTGAACCCCTGATCCGCTCAACCCTGAACCCTCGAAGCCTTTTCTTGGACAAATCCGCTGAAGGCCGAGCTGCTCGAAGAGTCCATGCCCGAGACAGAAACCAGGGAAGAGGCGATAGATCCTTAGGGAGTAGAGTTTGGGGTTTAGACTTTAGGGCTCAGGGTCCATGGCTCCGGGAATAGAGTTTGCGGCCTAGGGTTTGGGTTCCGTGGCCACATCATCATCACAAGACTAGATCATGGGTATACATTGTCAGCGTGGACAAGAAACACATTCCGACATCGTGCATCATAATGTCGGCTTAAGGGTCAACGGCTTTAGGGCCTAGCACGGAGTTGGATGGAGTATGCCCTAAGCCTGAAAGTGATGCACGCGTTCTCAGGGAACTCAGACAGATCAAGTCCTAAACATATTATAGGGGAAAAAATATTTTTTCCCCTATAATATGTTTAGTACTGACGTCATTTCTGCGTGCAATCACTGAATGTACCAATGGTGCTATGTGTGATGTACGCGTCAGCTTTTAGGCCCGATGAG